AGGTTACTGAGAAAAATCTCACTGATGATTAATGAAGCTGCTGCTGACACATCATTTAGTCTCTCCACGACGCCCTAGTTAAGTATTGATTTAATAACCGCCTAAAACATAAGAGAAGAATAATGAGGCTTCAGTGCATTATTAATGATTTCTACTTCTTCCAAACACTGCACAAAACTGCATATCTGTGTCTCTAAAATCTGACTTCACATGTATGTGATGATTGATATTATAGGAATTCAATTTTAAAAACCTAAGTTCTAATTTTAGTCCTGTAATTAATAAAATTCAGGATATTTCATGGTAATTTTCTAGTATTTTTACAAGTTATTCAAAAATCATTTAACTAAACAGATAGTGTATATTTTCTAAAATCTCCTTGATTAAATATTAATACCTGATTTTATTTTCTAATTACAGGTGATCTGTATTAACTTTAAAGAGGCATCACAGACTTTTCTAATGATACTGCCACCTGTGGCCAAAATGCAGAACTGCAGGGCTTTTCTGCTTGTTCTTGTAGCTCATGCTCATACTTGATAAGTTTTTTATTTATTTACTTTCTTTACCTTAAATGGAGTTGCCATTGGTGTCTAAGGTGAGCAAGTATCCTCAAAATCCATCTCGCATACAACGCTTCGATTGTTTGCTAGGTCAGACCAATTTAACATTGAGGCGCTTGACTTCACATGAAAAGCGCAGGAACTGCTGACGCAAAGTAAATTAAGGAAAGTAATCTAAAAACTTATAGATGCATGGGTGGTGGACTACTGAGGTGTCAGCCTTAAAAGGTCAAATAAAAAAGCTATTTCAAAGATGTTTTTCCATAAAAAAACTTCTATCATACTGTTTTTAATCTTGGTTTATTTAAAAATACTATATTCTTCTATTCCTGGACAGGGTCTGTTGTTTTTGGCATAACAGCCTTTGTTTTGTAAGGTATTTTTCCTACTTGGTAATGGACAGATTAGCTGTAACTGAAACTTAATTTGCTCACTTGACTGCATGTTTTAGCTACTTTAAGCTTGCAGCATGCTGAGGTGAGCAAATCTTCACTGATGCAGACAGAGCCTCTGCATATTAAAAGACTGACTACAGTTGTGCTTGAAAGTTTATGTGCCCTTCCATTAAAGGCAAAAAGAAATCAGCTAGCAGTAAAATTGATAAAAGTAATAATAGATAAAATGGAAATCATGACATTGATTTATATAAAAATTGCACAAATAAAATAAGTAATGTCTGATGGAGCTCCTGAACTAAATTTTTGACAAGGATCTTGATTAACTGTTCATGAGCAAGGCACTTTAATTTGTTTTTGTTTTTTGTTTTTAGAATTTCTTTTTATAAAAATGTAAAATCAATATTATATTTTACTAAATTATCATTTAGTAAATTTGTATTTATTACTTTTTAAGGTTTTGTGTTATTTGAATTATTAGTGTGAATGTATCCTTTTCTGTAATGTATCTATCTGTATCTTTATAATGGCATCAGTGCAACATTGCTTGTGTAGAAATTAGATGCTTTGATGCAATCTGTGTGGTATAAATTAGCTGGTGATTGCATCAAGCTGCACAATGCTACATCTGCAGAGAGCAGACCCTAGGGCATCATCTACTTAAACTTGGCCTTTACAGAGATGTTGATGCTTTTTAAATCTGCATTAAATAACTTTTTTTTTTTGGTCAATGAGTTACTACATCCTGCCATGAATTGGCACGTTACTGGGCTTTTCTTTGGTTGTAAGATGGAAAATTGCCTCCTTTCTGTCTGGAGGGTACAGTAGATGAAAGATCAATTAAAAAGATGAGAAGGAAAGGAAATACAGTATACCAGAAGGAAGGAATAGAAGAGATATGCCTTTTCAGATACATGAGCTGAGTAGTCTGAAATGTCTCTTTTTATTCAGCAGGTAACCAGGAAGCTCCCGATTTCTTTATCCTAACACACACAAACATTAATCTTTCACATTCTCCTCATTTTCTGTGCTTCAAACATATTTCTCCCATTTCCTCTGATCTATTTTACACCAGATAGTGGTGGAGTGCAGCAGAGCTTTGCTTTTATTTCTAGCTTCAGGGCAAAGTAAAGATGGCAACAAAAGATTGTGTCCTAAAGGGAAAATCTATTCCTCTTTGCTTTTTCAGTAGGTTTCACATGCAATATTTAGTTTCAGTGTTTAAACTGAAGCTAGATAAAAGTGATGTGTGTCTATCATATAAATATATTCATAAACAATATATTAAGACCATTAAAATCATTTTGGATCTGGTGTTTGCTGTTTGTAGGATTTTTTAAAATGGTCTAAGATTTCATCTTTGCATTAAACCCGTAAAAATAGTGTAGAATCAATGGGTTTTCAGAAATACAAGCCTACTCTTTGCTGTAGAACAACATATATAAATGTTGTTAAAATGTGATTGTGTCAATCTAAAATTATAAAAAAATATATGTAAAACAGATCCTCATCAACACATGTTAGTGACCACTTTTATTTGTAGAGTTTCAGTTTGTTTATGGGGGAATAAATGATTATTTAGGAACCACATCACTTTGATCTATGTTGCAGTGAAGTTATTTTAGCCATAAAAACACTGTTAGTTAAAACTGTCCTGTTGGTGCATTAGCAGCTGGGGAACGATAGGAAACAGCGACAGAGTTTTTGTGGGAAACACTGCCAGTTTCTAAAACCAGATTAATTAGGTTCCAGAGGAAAACTTTCTGCATTTTCTCAGCTTAGGATAAATAAAGTCTGTCTGTCTGTCTGTCTGTCTGTCTGTCTGTCTGTCTGTCTGTCTGTCTGTCTGTCTGTCTGTCTGTCTGTCTGTCTGTCTATCTATCTATCTATCTATCTATCTATCTATCTATCTAGATAGATAGATAGATAGATAGATAGATAGATAGATAGATAGATAGATAGATAGATAGATAGATAGATAGATAGACAGATAGATAGACAGATTAGCAAGATGATGCAGCATAGTAGCTTTATTCTACTATTATTGTTATGAATTTATGCAGTGAAGGGTTTTGCCTACTTTGGAGCCGCATTGCATATGGCAGAATGCAAACTTTGATGACTTCTCTATTTGCTTGCTCTGTCAGTTTAGGTGGACATCCTTTTAGAATAGGGCTCAGTGAAATTTCCAAATCTATATTTATTGTTTTATAACCAAACCCTGCTTTAAACTTCTCGATATCTTTATCCCATATTGGTCAGATGTGGGTTTGCTCATTCAAATTCACCCGTCTAATTCTGCCTATTGCTCATTATTGCACATCCGATCACCTGCTCCTGCCTCTATTTAAGTTACTTGTGTCGTTCTCGCTGGCCAGTGTTTTTAGTGTACCATAGGTTTCCTGATGTCATGATCCTGACCTGTTCTGCCTCTCGACCACTGAGCCTGTCTATTCCCATCTGAACGGGTTTATCTGAACTGTCTTTGGACTCCTGAACCAGCCTGTTCCTGTTCTGACCTGGGTTTAGACCCCTGGACCTCTGAGCCTTCCTGTTCTGATCTGTTTCCCTGACCTGGTTTCGGACTCCTGCTTGTTCTCCGGGGATGCAGCACGTGGGAGACTCTGGGCCCACATGCTGCATCCAGATGCGCCCGCCTCATCTTGTTGGAAACCTACCAGCTGGATCCAACCTAGTTCTGTAGCGATGGACTGTACTGTTAAACCAGGTTAGTGACTCACATGGATAATCATCCGTCAGATTATTATTGGTCACTAACCTGTGTTTCTCTCCAACAGAGCTACAGTGATAGACGCCCTCGCCGCTGATACCGCGGATCCGCAGCCCTCTCTCTCAATTTCAATAAACACTCTGAATTATCCCACCGTTTGTCTCACCTTGAATTCTGGGTATTTCTGTCCTGTGTCATGAAAGTTTTTTTATTAATGATCTCTTACTTCACTGGTTCAATACCTAAATTAAACTGCACATACACTGTTTACTAGATGTTTCCAACTAGTTTCCAAGTTGTGACATAAAAGTTGTTGAATATAAAACTCCTTAATTGAAAAAAAATTTAATCATGCATCATTTTGGTTTGTCTTATAAAAAAAAAAAACAAAGAAACACAGAGGTTGCTGGTTGTGACATCACAGAAGCAGCTTGAATGTTTTTTCATTTTTTTTACTTGCTGTGACAAATGAAAGCAGGGTAAGTTGTGTATCAGAACTGTTCCCCAGGAGAACGTGGTTCATCCCTTTTGGGTCCACTCGGTTATACAGGGCTGTAATGATCAGCATTGTCCAGGATCAGTGGTGCCTGAACCCCTCTGAACCATCCCAGCTCTGCAGCAATAAGGGGAATGCTAAACTTACAACTGTATGCTTTGGATTATCAGACCACTGGGCCCGGTGATAAAGAGCAGCCCACAATGGGAGGGCAATTGAGCAGCTTAACTAATACCTATTTTGTTATTTTTCTATTGGCCTTGTGCATCATAGACTAGGCAGTGGAATGTAAGAAAATCTGCCACATATTTGCTGAAAGCCAGAGAATAGTTAAAAGTTTGATTGATTTTCCTTTTTCCAATTAGAAACCTTAGTAGAGAAAATGAGCCTAGATGACACCAAGCTTAGTGCAGACGTAGTAGCAGCAATCTCTTCTGTGCAATCAATAGGCCTGCAATGCCCTCTACCCCCACTCTAGAGTTCAGGAGCAGAGAGGATAGGAAGCCAGATGGGGGAAGGAGTAAGAAATACATATGGAGGAGGGGTGAGAAAAACGAGGAAGGAAAGCTGAACGAAGACCTGCAGATTGAACTGTTTTACCCTCCCTGAGGACTAAACCATGTTTTATGTGAATCTATCACTAACACTGGCTTCTACTTAACTTCATCCCTTCTGCTAATTAAGGGTTACACTAGCAAGTATATAACCTAAACTTCACTGGGCATTTACATTATTTTTGGGATCTCATGGTTGAGCTTCCTGCTGACACATTGCACAAACCTGTCAGACATTAATGAGTAAAAGGCATTCCTTACCTGTGGGTTTCATGTAATAAGCCTCTATGTCAGCCATGTCCGTGTGCAGAGCACATTCCAAATAATTCTGGATAACTTTCCTGCTGTAGTAGTAGCGAGCACCCATGAGAATGAGCGGTGCACAGCAGGTCAGCGTGACAGACTTGGTCACGTAAAAGCATATTACTATGGAGAAATGGAAGAAAAGTAAACGAAACCTGTCAGAAGAGAGAACCACAAGTTTGATTTTTGGCAGAGTTTGAATCCAACAACAGACAGAGAAGAGCAAGGTGTTCAGAAAGCAGGACAACAGTTTGACATGACAAAACAGAAACAGTGGAAGGTGAGCAGGGTTAGACATCCAGCAGACTGACGTAGCCAAGGTTCCTACTTTCTGGGAAGGTGTGGAGCTTAAATTACATGGTTTCCAGGTTGTATCCTATAGTTATCCTGCTCTGGATGCCAGCAGGATATGTAGGAAATGCTTGATTATCCAGGTTTTGCTAACTTTACTCGTGTCCTGTTTTGTATCATTCCATTTCTTTGTATATCCACCCATCTGTTTGTTTCCATCATCCAACCATCCATTGGTACGTTACTCATCCATTCATTCAAGTGTCAGTCATCCATACATATTTTAAGCAATTTTTGTTTCCATCAAACATCAATCCATCATTTTTTTTTTACGTTTAATTTTCATTTAAACTTTGACTTCTGTAGAAACATCTCTAGTAATTTCATAGGGAATTTGTGTCTTCATATTTTAAATAAACCGCGCAGTCTGGAAAAGTCAGGACATTAAGTCAGGATTGAAGGATGTGTAGGATCCCTGAGAAGAGTTTATATTCATTTATGTCTTTAGGGAATTGCAGAAGTGCGTAGTTACTGGTTATGTTTACTTAGTTACATTTACTGTAGTATTTTTTAATTACTTTTAGAAATAGTTTTATTGTGCTGTGCTTCTTTTATTTACTTAAATAATATTCCTGTTTTAACTTGACTTTAACTTTTCTTATCCAGGATTTTTGTCCCATTTTGTAATCATGAAATGTATTAGTATTTTAATCTTTGACATACCAGAATTTGCAAACACAATCTGTCTGACTGCATCATTTCTAAGGATTAAATACGAAATGATGGTCCAAGAAGTACTCTGTATTTGAGCAGCTATTTTACCAAATTCTTTTTTTCTACCAAATACTTTATTACTTTCACTTAAGTGACCTCTTGGATACTCTGCTTAGCTCTGAGGAATTATAAATCAAGGATTAATTGGATTAAATCTGATTTTATGGGATTGACTATAAGTTAGTTACATCATCTAGTCATGATGAGCAGGGGTGGAGCTAGATGGGGGGCCAGGGGTGGCCATGGCCACGCTTAGCCAATCGTTGGCCACCCCTACCATTTTCTTCCCTCTGATACAGATGGTGGCAGCACTAATACTCTAAAGTGGACGTACAAAATTCAGGCTCTTTTAAGAACTATATTTTGTGGTGTTTTAAAGACTCCTAGATGAGTTGCATTTTCTCTTTTATATATATATATATATATATATATATATATATATATATATATATATATATATATATATATATATATATATGCAACTGATCTAGGAGTCTTTGTTTAAAAATATTAAAAAAAAAACTTATTAAATATTCAATTTATGACTTTATTGATCTCACATCTGCTTTATGTAGATATTCATCCATCCATTTTCTTACATGCTTAATCCCAAGTGGGGTTGCGAGGGGTGCTGGTGCCTATCTCCAGCTGTCTACAGGCAAGAGGCAGGGTACACCCTGGACAGGTCGCCAGTCCATCACAACCATTCATGCACACACTCACACCTAAGAAGAATTTAGAGAAGCCAATTAACCTAACAGTCATGTTTTTGGACTGTGGGAGGAAGCCAGAGTACCCAGAGAGAACCCACGCATGATTAGGGAGAACATGCAAACTCCATACAGAAAGACCCCAGGCCAGGAATCAAACCCAGAATCTTCTTGCTGCAAGGCAGCAGTGCTACCAACTGTGTCACTGAGCAGCCCTATGTAGATATTAGTACTTGTAAATATCAATTTTATGCAGAATGATTATTGATAAAAGTAGGTAAGAAATGAAGATGGAAAAGATGTTTACCAAAGAAAGAATTTTATCAACTATACCTTTTATTTAAATATATGCGCTTATTTGTTAGCAAAGGCTTTCGGAAAGAATAGTTAATCTTTATTTAGAAGAAATTGAGGTTTTGCTCGTTAATATTCCTGTTGGAACAGCATAGATTGACTGTGAGGTTCTGGTGCCTACCTGCATTCGGCCCCCCCTCAGTGTACATTGGTTAGTGCCTAAAAATTTTCTGACTACGCCTCTGATGAGTAGGATTTAATTTAAATAACTAAACGAGAAAAAGGTCAGAGGCGTATTTGAGTGATTTGTATCCCTTTATCTCTTATTTCTATTGTTTTAATTTTTGGAGTAGTTGGCGCCCCCTATGGGCCGGTCCTCAAACTGACTCCCTCCTTCTGTGAAGTCACATGTGATCACAGCATCAGCACCATCAGCCTCTGCACACATGCTCCATGCGCCCGGCATGTCTTTTGTTGCCCTGCATGCCGGAGCAGAGCGCCGCCTGGCAAACTTTAAAGCTGCAACAGATTCCTGCGTATCTGCAGAGGCTGAATCTAGAACCGGGAAATACATTTATGAGCTGAATCAGGATGAAGTTTGTGTGATAAAGTGTTTTTTTTTTTTTTTTTTTTTGCTAGAGGCTCACCTGTCAGAAAGGCATATAAGAACTGGGTCCTGGGCTGCTGCCAGATCCCCCTGAACGCAGTGTTAGGGATCCTCTCCATTATCCCTTCGTGGAAGATGCGCAGCACTTCCTCCTTGTCCGCGCGCTCGAACTCGCGGATAAACACCGCATCCCTTCTCACATCCTTGGGGCCCGCCGGGGAGCCCCACATCATCGGCTCTTTTTTGGTCCCAGCTATAGCTTCGTGCTCGTCCGCAACGATTTTAGTCTCGCAAACCATTTTTGGAGACGAACAATGCATGCAAGTGGCCTGCAGACAGACGGCTCAGTGCTGGGAGAGAGGCGGATGGGTGAGGATGGATGATGCGTTAAAAAAAATAAAAATAAAGATTCTCCTTAAAAAACAGTGAGAGGATGATGGAAAGGGGAGGGATAAGACGGAGGAGGGGGGATGCTCTGCTGCAACCCTGAGCGGTTCTGAAGACCAAGACTTTCCGGCGCGATCCGGGCCGGTTTTATATGGGAGCAGGGGCGGGTTCAGGGGCTGGGGGCGGGGGCCCGTCCGCTCAGATTGGATGCGGGATGCAGAGGGAGGAGGGGAGGGATGTGTCAGGTCTGAACAAGCTGCTTTCTGCCGTGGAGGGATGATTTTAGAGAAAGTGGACTCATTAGGAGGGGAGAAATATCTAATGTTATTTATATAAAAATGCAATCAAATAACTAAGGCTATTTGTCTGCATTAAAGCCAACAATCAATATATTTGAAAGAGAAAATGTGCCTCAATTCAAAAAATCCAATAACGTCTGTTTTTGAAATACACATTTAATTAAAAACTTCAAACACATATGATATCAATTAAATGATACGCACTTGATTAAAAGTGTTACCTTTTTCTAATATTCCAATGATTAAAAGTGCAATCATTGTTACAGCTAATTAAAGTCATTAAACCATAAAATCATAGCTTTGTTTTGAGCACTAAATGTTTGGATCCCTTCATTTCTCAAAATAGATTATACATATGGTTATATTTTCTGCTTTTATAACATTAGCAGAGCATAAATCGACAAAATTATCAATCTATGTTATTAAATATTTCGATAAACTATCTAAATAAAATTTTAATTAGAGTTCTGAACCCTTTAAAAGTCTTGCATTGCTGCAACCAAGGCTGTTCTAGACAGGGAGCCATAGCCCCTGTTATTGCACCTGTATTTAAGACATAATAATACCCCTTTAATAATGTATGCTGGCACAGGAACTATAACTGAATAGTCTGTTGAACCAATTCCCCTTTTTACAGATTAATTTTGATAATACTATAAAATTTAAGTTATTACTTTTTGAGGTTTTTGTTGTTTTGTCTGTTTGTTTCATTTTTTTTCCTTGAAAAAACATTGGCCCCTCTGGTAAATTTGGTCCACTGGCAGCCGCTCATTTATTTTTATTTTTTTATCAGTCTGCTGTACAATCAGGGGATCGGTCTCAACCTCTGTGCAGGTTACCCAATCATATGTTTGGCATGATTAAAACTTATGCTGTTAGATTTGCTTGTGTCCTGATAGACTATGGCAAAGACAAAATAAAATATCTGCATGCATAATTTAATAGGTAAAGCCTACAAAATGTTATGACGTCATGAGTTTAATAGCAGATTAACATTAATGTACCAAAATGTGTAAATGATTGCCCTTCTTTTTTTTTAGCTTTATCTAAACTTGTCAGTTTATGAAAAATAGATTATCTGGTACATCATTTTCTGTATGACACTTCTGGACATCAATGGCTTATGCTTGGCGTTTTATTGTGTGTGTATTTAAAGGAAAAGCTTTGATAGGTTCCAATAGTTTTTATTTATTTATTCAAATTTACACAGAAAATACTTTTTTTTCCTTGTATGTTATTAATCTAAAACATAAAGAAGTAATTTAAAGATGAGTATTCTATCTTAATTTATGTTGTTGTTTTATTTTTTGTTACCCTGATGTTCTTTAAATCCATACCAGAGCCGGATCTCTTGATAAACAGAAACCCAGAGGAGACTTGCATATACAATCCAGACTCACAATGGGGCTGTGTGAGTGACAGCTCTGCTGCACTGCAGTGATCCCTCCATGGCTTCAGTCCGCCTCGCCATGCTGCCGCTGCCAGAAATCGCTCCCTACATGGAGATTATCTTCCCCTTGCTACCCCGTCCATCAGTATCTATTGTAGACTGGTTGCGAATTAATCACCTGCAGCTTTAATGGGGCAGCGCTGCATTGGATGAGGATGAGGATGCTGATGCTGGAGCGACTCCTTTGTCGTCTCCCCTCACATGCTGGGGGTATTTAACCGTTAGGCTACCGGTGCAACTTACGCAGATAAATCTTTAATAATTCATTCATTATTTTTCATATAGTCCATGAATTATTAAGGATCTATTTATTGAGCTGAATTTTGACTGAGTAGTTATAATAAATGTTGAGCAGGACTATTTGAATAAACACACTGAAGGGGTTCATGGTTTGTATAAAGCTGTGAAAGTGTAGCTCTCTCCATTTGAATCTGCTCTCTATCCGTAGCTTTTAGTGGAAAACTGCGGATCCTCTCACAGCCTAATAAAGCACAACTAGTTTGAACTGGATCTGAACTAGTTTGCTATTGATGAGGCTGCATCTTTTCCTCCGCCTCCTCCTCTTCCTCAGTGAGCAGGAGAAGCAGGAGGAAGAGAAGCTGTAGGCATCCTGCAGAAATCCTCGTGCTGTCGACTTAGCCTTAACATTCTCTCCTCTAAAAATACTATGGAAGACAGAAGATTATTTTTTTATTAGATCAGCGCATCATCTACAGTGGATTGGACTGGCTGCAGCCTGAGCATGCGCAATGCATCACTTTGCTTGCCTTTCTAGATCAGTGCCTTTATGTTCTAGCGGTGATGCAGCAACACAAGCTGAGTGTGCATGAGTGGGAAGGTTGCAAACATTGTGAAATAAATGTGAGCAATTAATTTTATAATCCATTTTAAAAGAGAAAAGATTATTAATTTTTTATATATTTTAATAGAATTAATAACCTAAATTTAACCAACAATGTTCATTATTATTTGATATATAATAAACAATATAAACAATCACGAGGAGGAAGACTCAGAGAGACGGAGTTGGAGGAAGTTAGACGAGGAACCAGCACTGAAGAACTGCACAGAGAGAGTATTTATGGGAGACTGAAACAAAGAGAGGACTAACGAGCAGATTGGGAGCAGGTGTGAACAGAGCAGAACAGGAAAGGAGCTAGGGAAAAAGGAGAACACAAGAGGGCAGCAGAGGGCAACAAATAAAAACCTGAAAATAACCAGAAAACACAACAAAATAAGAATTAAACCACTAAAATGGCGCAAAGTAAAACTGAATACTCAAAAGAAAACAGAACCAGAACTGTGACAAATATATATTAAACAAATTACATGTAGGTCTAGTAATTCACACATGCACATAAATCACAATAAACATCAATTAAATGTAATAAAGGATTTATGTTATGAACCAATTTTTTTCTAGTTATAATGATGAACTCAACACATCTCCTGTTTGGTGAAACTCCTTGCATGCATTACTGTGATGAGCTTCAGACCCATTTATTTACATTCTGAACATCCTGGAGGCCACTTCATTTTAATATATGATAATTTCAGGCTCCACAATCAGATTCAAGCCACCTGTTTTTACCTTAAACTATTTTACAGTTTCATTTATTTTCCGTTTTTAAATATTTTCATCACCATGTTTTCTAAAAGAGATAAGAAACACAGCAGTTTAAGCTAAAACCAACACAGACACCCAGTTAAAAGAAGGCACCAGTGCCCCTGTTACTCTTCGAGGTTGTAAGGAGCGATTTCTGAATAAACCTGTTCAAAAGTAGCAGCTTGGTACATAAGAAACAAACATATAGCAGTTTCCATCTGGTATATTAGCCATCCTGTGCTAAACCCACAGAGGGTAATGAGGGAGAATGGTAAGAAGGGAGGATAGTGTTTCTCTCGCTCTTTGCATGGAGCAGGAGGTGTTAGCATGAAGCCATGGGGACACCTCTGACAGCTTTACTCACATTCTCACACACTATATAGACTGCTGTGGGGAGAGCACTGTCCCAACCAGGACTGTATGAAGTTACTCGAGCAAGATCATGAATATACCCAGAAATAAAGGTTTTCCTTAAGGAGAAGAGAACCTTCAGATCAGCAAACTAACAGAGTTTGCAGATTACACGGATTAATGAATGCAAATTATTCAAATTAACACATGTTTTTGCTTGATAACTCCAAGTTCTCTTTTTTGTCTAAAATGTAAGTTTTTTTTACTTTACGCTGCTGTTCTAAATTAAGTTTGCTTTTTGCTTTGTTACCTATGACAGTTCTTGTCCATGTAGGCCCTGGGGGAGTCCCTCCCACTGTTTCCAGGATTATATCAAGAGATGTTGTCTTCGTTTGCCCACACTCATCCCACTAACTAACAACAATGTTTTAAGTATGGGTGCTTTCATAATTAGTAAAATTGTTTAATCATTCTCCAAATATATTTTGAAATATCATGCTCAGTGAGGAAGTTCAGCATTAACAGCCAGTTGTTGAGTAAAATCATGATTTCTTACATCACTCTTACACACCTTGGCGACTCAAGTTTCATAAATTTGACAAACCAGGGAGAAATATAAGACTAGCTTGGGAAGCAAATAGATTTGTTGGTATTTGAGCACTTTGGCTGGCCCCTGATGCCCTAGGACCCTGGATATAGAGCCTTAATTCCCTTATCAGAAATAGCAACTTGGTGTTGCTTGATAAATTAATTGAAATAATGCAGAATTTTATTATGCAGCCACTGTAACTACAATATTTTAAAGGTGAAGCAGATGTGTTGTACTGAGAACCACCTGCCATTGTTTTCCCTGTAATAAGCTTAGAGAAGCTCCACAAAATAACAATGAGCAGGGGCCTCTGTGGTCTGCTGAAAGCAATGCTGAGCTGAGATAAATGGTGGATTAGAGGGAGTTGAAGTTTAGAGGACTTGACTCTTCTGTGAATTCTGGAGACTTTCTAACAGCTGGCTGTCGATGCAGTCGGATCCTACAGGAGACGATGAAAGAAAAGCTGGATGGAGGGAAGAAATCAAAGAAGCGAAAGTTATTGAGTTTAAACCCCCATTAGTTCTTCCAGTAGGTGTCTCTGCAGGTTGAAGCTGCCTCAGCAGGACAGCTGAGCTCAGTGTGGTGCAGCAACAACAAAAAAAGGGGGGATTCGCCTCCACAATGCTGCCTCCAGGTGGAGAATCCTGCCAGGTCACTGCAGGCTCTTCAGTGGCCGGCAGGGTTCTTCGGTTTTCCTCTGCTTGCATCTGTTAACAGCATCTAATCCTGATAGCTTTTAGGGAAACAGAGAGTGCTGCAGTGTTGCGACACAGCCTGCCTGTACTTGGGGCTCCTCCTACTGGTGCAGATAACACCCTGACAGGAGTAATGAATCATGTTTTCTGCTTTTTCTCCTCCTGGTGGTGATCACTGCTGTAAACACAAATTATAAAAACGTTTCTATCTTATGTTGGAGCTTTAATTTAGTTTAAAATATAACCACCTCACAGGGCGAATAACCCCAGAATAGAAATTGTTACATGTGGACACAAAAGAAATCCCTCAACTAACATCCATGTTTGAGGTAAAAACACACATCTCAGTTTGTTTTAATTAAGTTAATATGTGATAACAACGCATAATGTTTTATAAATGTGAGGTTAAAGGAACCACAGAAGGTTTCATGGCTGCTTTTTGCTATTAAAGCCTTGGAAGGGGGACATGCAGGGATGAGGAAGCTGGTTAGAGTGGAAGGCAGGATGAATGGGGTTTCCCTCAGAGCAGTTCTAAAAGAAAACAGCCTTAAATAAACATCCATTGTTATGGTTGAACGAATGACATGTTCAGTCAAAGTATTTTAATGTGTTAAAATGTCCCAGTCAAAGTAAAAAAAGAAGAGAAACTGACAATACTTGATAACTGATGCTCAATGATGCACCGTACCTGCTGCCGAGGCTAGGGCATGCTCTGCACTGGTGGAAACAATTCCTAGAACCCTCTGGACTGAGTTTGAACTAATTAAAAGCAGGTTTTTCTAACATCTGAGGTTGTTTTGATTCAAAGCAATAAAAGCGATATGCTTTGGAAATTACCATTGCTGATGGAATGAAATAAATTAGGTCTACATCCTGTCATTCAATGACTTTGATATTAGTGCCATTTGCTTCTTTCTATGGAGTTTCATCAAATTAGCTTATAACGCTTGTAATTTTTTGTGGATTTCATGTGTTCTTCACCCTGCTTGAAATGATCTCCCAGCTAACCCCCCTGAGTATCAAGGTATATTCTCACCCATACCTCCTCTGCTGACTGCCTGGTCATCATTTTAGCTGCCCTCCACTCTAAATGATTGTCATTTCTTCCATGAATAAATACTAAAAACACACCACAGACCTCTCCTGCCTCCACTGGGATGACACATCGGGGTTTAAGAGGATTTAGTTATGTTGGGTTTCCATGTAAAACACAAAGATGCTGGTTTCAAATACATCTCTCCTTACTTTATTTCAATCAGTCTGCAAATGAAATCAGTTAAAACTATCAACCAAGAAACATTTCAATAAGAAATTGTCAGCTTATTGATAAGTATGTCTTTACTTCAGTACATGAACTTAATGCCTGGTTGGGGATCCTTTTACGGTACATGAATCACTTCTACCTGCATATATGATCTAATGTATGCTGTGGTGATGATCCTATTAGCCTCTTTTTATCTAGAGGAAATGTCTTCACGTTGCTTTGATAGCAGCCCTTAGTTCATCTACAGTCTTTGGTCTTGTTTCTCCCATCTTCCTTTTGATAAAACTTGTTTATGAGGTTTGGGTTGGAACAGTTTAAACCCTTGGCATTGTCAGTGGGTACCGAGTCCTTCTGGAAAAAATAAAAGAAGTTCTCCATAAAGCTTGTAAGTACAGCAAACCCTGGAGAATAAAATGCAGAATGTAGAGACTGAATAAACTGGAGACTGAATGAGCTGGTGAGAAGCGGCACTTCTGTCCTGTGGATGAATTGGCTGAGAGGAGGGTGCTGTCCAAGCTTACATCCATCATGGACAACACCTTTCACCCCCTGCACCAGACTGTAGAGGAGCTGAGCAGCTCCTTTAGTGAAAGACATACACTATCATTCATCCCTGCTGCCATCAGACTTCACAATGCAACACTATAACTGCAATAATTTGTGCAATAAGTAATGTGCAATCACTATATAATACCCTGCGCAATAATCTTGTTAAATAAGAGTCTTCAACTGTTATATATAGATATATAGATGCACTGTATATACCCCATGCACCTTTTCCTTCTTTTGGCGCCTTCTTTTGAATATTGAGCCGATGTGGCAAGTGAATTTCTCCATTGTGAGATCAGTAAAGTCTATCTTATCTTAATTTGTATCATTGTGCAACATTTCAGTCCTCATAAGGATTTAAGATAACATTTTAGCTGTAGTTCAGATCCTCAATTTGCCTTTAGGGGTGGGAGCTCTTAAAACTCCAGCTGAGATGTAAATGAATCTCCTCCAAACTCAAAACTTAAATAGGCTTTCACACTCCATATTACTTTTGCACCTTTTTTCCTTCCACTTAACTTTCCATAAAAGTACTTGGAGACAGTACTCTTTGAGGAGCACTGATTAGCATTTGGGGCTAATTCTAATACCTGAGAGAAAATATATATATGTAATGTATAATTGAAATGCACCTGTTCAAAGCAGTAAGTGAAGAACTGACATTTGAGTTACTGTATTTTGATATATAACTACTTAATTTTTGTTTTTAGTCATTTGCTATATTACTGCATTTTTTTGCAGAGAAAATGTTCAACGGTCACCAATTCATATTTTCTTTCTCTACAAATTAGACCCCTGCTATGAGGGAAACAATGATGGAAAAAAGATGCATGTTTTATGTTTTTATTCATAGGTACAACATTAAGACTGTAAAATGGAGCCTCCTGTGACTTGCAGAGTACATTGCTGATAAAGGAGCAGCAGTAAGAGGATTTTCTGCTCTCTGCTGCCGTTCTCTTCATCCCTTCCTTCCCTCCCTGCTGATGCCGCAGCTCATCTGATCCGATCCGGGTCTGCTTCATCGCTTTCCCTGCAGACGCCTTCAAAATCTAGCAGAGGTCCGCAGGCAGACGTATCCCGGCGCGTTTGCATCGTGTGCACACGTCAGCTTTATTACCACCTAAATGAAAGTGCTATAAATTCATGCTACAGTGCTGTGCTAAAACAAGACCTACGGATGGTCTTCCTAAAAAATATCTTTACTAAAGTAAAATCATCCCCATACTTAACTATGGAGCAAAAAAACTTTCCATTTTAAATGACCCAACCCCCTTCCTCCTACAGGCTTTGAGTCAACTAATTAGGATTATTGAAATTACATTTATATTATTATGTTAAACTGCTGCTAATGAGCAGTTCAATAAACTCTGATGCTACAGGTAGAAGTGTGTAAACAGTAACCTCATACAACAATATCATATACAGATGCATCCTACTGTGTCTACTTTTTTCAGTCAGTTACTAGAAAGTAGAAAAACGCATTTATGCTCCAAAGATGAGGACAGCAGAAAACGATGAGGACAGTTTATAAGATTCAGAGCGATTCACTACACAAACATCGGTGATGTCAAAGTCCTACACGAGGTAACAAAAAAAAAAAAAAAAATGTCCACCTGTGGTTGAAATCAGAGCTGAGATCAAATGAGATGATGAGGGAAACAAATTATATAAAGTGCCTGTTTGTTTAGAGAAGTTCAGATGGGTTTTTCTGTAAATGTTAAGAGGCCAGAGATGGAGGGTTGTCTGGGCGTCTGAGGATGGCGGGGCTCAGCGCAGTGTGGTGGTGGGCATGCAGTCGCACAGAGCCCTCGTCTCCGCCCGAAGCACCAACGTCTCCGTCTACAACATAAAGAAAAATGTAGCTCTCAGGAAAATTTAGCTCATTATCTGCATTCTTTTTCACATTTTAATCATGCATTCAAACTTTCTGGCTTTCAGGGTGAAACGATAATACAAAAGATTAAAAAAATACTGTAATGAGTTTTGGAGTTTTTTTCTCATTTGCATGGTTGCAAAACTATATATGTAAGCCCAGAAATATGTACGCAGTATTACTGGGTAGTACTTGCACTTGATTTGAGTATATAAGCAAAAATTATTTGCCACTAAAATATGGTTTTGCACAAAGAAAATCATTTTTCAAATGCAGTATATATAAGATTATTTAACTTCAGGAGCCTAAATACTCAATTCAATTGGCAGGTAAATTGTAATTACATGCTTTAATGGATGGCCTAAAAATATCTTATTTCTAGTTCTTTAGATTCTCCTGCATGGTGGTGATGGTTTCATAATGTGGTGCTGATGGTTGCCATAACTGATACTGCTACATTTTTGTTTCTCTCCAAAAATTGAGGGAATATGGAGGACAAGAAGGACTACCATCAAACCAACAACTAGGCTGTTGAAAAAATTATCCAAAACACACATTTGAACTGGTTTTGGAATAAATAAAGCTGACTGACTTAAAGGTATAGGGGACGATCTTTTATTTCCGGGTGGATCATCTAAAGAAGTAGTTCTCCTAATTGCCAATCACTCTGGTGATATGTTTACGTAAGGCTGTCCTACAGTATGTCCTCGTCCCGTTAGCTATCTTTTCCTGGGCATGCACACTTTTGGGCGTATATCTGTGGTGAGCTACGGTTTCAGGCAGTCCTTGAAGCTCGCCTTTCTCACCACGGTTCTTTGAAAATGGCCGAGGATCGTAAGAGAAAAAGTGTGTAAGAAGTGTATTGCAGATTCTTTTCGTGCAACTTTTCAACAGAACGTGCACAAAGAGAAATGGGCTTGTGCATGCTTTCTCACACGTTTAATAGGCATTCCCTCTCAGGATTGGGTACAGGGTTGTGCATGTGCATTGTTTTTATTTTTATTGGAGAGGTCAGTTCTTTTAAAAAATTTAGGAAAATCCTCCCCTTATACCTTTAAAAATTTCTGGAATTACCTGCAAATTAAAAGAACAAACAAACTGCAAATGATGCTTAAAAGATTGGCATTTGCCAGAAAACGTCCAATTCAAATGAGCTCCACCACTTCTTTCAAGACAAGTCAAATATCCACTATGGATATTATATGGCAGGAAATAAATGTAAATGGGTAATTTAGCCACAATTAAGCAGATTTGGATGTCATTTTGACTTTGAATAAAATATTTAATGGCAGCATTATTGCTAAATATGGCAATAAGGATATCGGTTGCCATTCATGTACTTGCTCTCACTGCTCCCCTCCTTTTGTCCTCCATTTGCTTTACCTAGAGGAACAGGCCATACCTATCTGATCTATCTGACAATAGGAAGTAGGCTAAAGGGTAAATGGGACAACAGACCTGGGTTGTTAGGATCACCTTTTTTTTCTTTAAAAAAACTTGAATTTATTATGAGTATATTTATGCAATACCAGTGTAGGTTCAACTATTTTTTTTAAAAGTATTTTTATTGTAAAAAAAAAACGCAAAATATATGCCAGTTTCAGTGTATGCGTTGACCCATTTAGGCCTAACTCTTGGGACAGTTTGAAAAAGGTTGGAGCTCCAATATGGAATTCAGTCCAGAGCAATTAAACAACCAAAAATCAAACACTATAACAAAAAATATATATGTGCCATGGGATGCGTTAAAGAAAAAAAAAATGACATTCATGCTCCATATTCTCAACAGATTCAAATTTCCCTGACCCTGGCATCAAGGTTAAAAGCTGTCTTCTTCAAATCCTGCAGCGCCCTCTGCATGAACTCAAAGGCATGGCAGTCAACGCATGGACGACCTGGAAACAAGTATTCAGAAATAAAAACAGCCAGAGTTAAATATAGTAAATATGTATGAGAAATAATGATGATAATTGTTATGTGGTAGAAATTCAATTAAAATTATAATCAATAAAATTTGTTAAATAGATTTACAAATATTTTAAAGCAGTAAGGGGTTTTCATCTTCATTTTATTAATTTTATATTTTATTTTTTTTTTAACCGTTAAAATGTAAAAATTCTTATTATTCTACATAAAACACCCCACTATGTGCTCCCTGTGGGATGTGGCATTAAAACTGGGTGAAAAACATCACATGTTTCCACCTCTTTTCATCCATTTATTATTATTATTTAATTTTTTTCTTAAATCCACCTACTTTCGGCTGGGATCACGGTCCCTGTCTCCTGGTCCGCCTCAGCGGCGCCGACACAGAGGAGCTGGAGCGCGAGCAGAAGCAGCGCTACCTGCATGTATGATCCGCTGATTGCCATGGTGACGGTCCTCTCAGCCTATTTCCATTTACAACAAATCAAATAGAAAAAAAAATAAAATAGAAAATTTAGAGGAAAAACTACAGCGGACGCAATTAAAGGCCGTCAGCAAATGGAATCCCCAAACATCACAGGCTTTGTTGATTCAATTTAAAAGTTTAACACAAAAAAGCAGCATATTTATAAATGCAGAACGTGCAGAATGATCACTTCCCACAAAATATTCCGATTCACTCACCTTCAATGATCCGAGGATGGGTTTTTTTGCACCAGATCAGCGTTAAAATGCCCACTGAGTAATGATTTATAGAGAGCTACCCAGTGCGCATGCGCAAATGACACCTAAAAAAAACCAGTCAAAACTTCCGGTGGCAGTATTCAAAATAAAGCATTAAGCAAATAATAAAGAAGCAGGGATGGAATGCATGAGAGAGAGAGAAAAAAAAAGAAAAACAGTAAATTATATTTGAATATTTAAAAAACGGATAGATTAATATTACTAAGGCAGCCAGACTGCTTTAGTTTAATTGATATAGAATATAAAATTCCTTTATTATTCCACAATAGGGAAATTCTGGTGTTTACAGCAGCAAAAAAAATAAAAAAAATGTCATAAAAATGTAGACCTTAGGAAAATGTATAAGAATAATAGTGAAGAGTTAAAAGATAAACTGTACTGTGAAGTGTTTAACAGTATAAAACTGCATCTGGAGAATAAATAACCAATACTATGAAGATCAGAGATGTGCAAAATGACAGCAGCATGTTAGTTAACTGACTAGGACAGAAACTGTGCAAAATCAGCATGAATATAACAACTTATTGAGGTTGTTGATATTGATTTATTGATTAGCTCCTTCAAATTTTTTTTTTTTTTTCAGACTGAACCATTAAAAAGGCTGCGGCTCGTCATGACATCTGTGGGGAAACCATTTGAGCGACTGGTGATGAAGCATCTGAACGACCATCACCAAAGGAAATACATCTGGATCCTGTCTGTGGGTTTCAGCCTTTACTTAAAGTCTGCAGACAGACAGGAGATGGGTCTGCTGGTCTACTGGTGTGATCCGAACCCTCCCCCGCAGCAGTTTAACTCTCTAAAGAAAGTGGAGATGAGTGTTTGACCTTCCGTCCATCCAGAAACTTGTGCAGCAGATCTGAGCACAAGAAGAGGCCATATTTCAACTTTCTATGAACATTTGGAAAGATTCCGTAAGTTTTATAGCAGTTTATTATTTCAGAGCGCTTCACAACATATATGTTCATGTTTTATTTTTCAAAATTTTTTAATTCAATACGCGGCATTTGGATTTATTTAACACCATATAGCCTCCCCTGATTCAGAGAGCAGCAGCTGAATGATCCCTCTCATGATGAAAACCTCTGTCTGGCTGCTGTCAGTCAAAAATCCTTCAGTATTTTGGCCAATCAGCTTCAAGCAGCCAGCTTCAGGATCCGCCCCTGCTGCATAGAGCCCCTAAGAGGTTTAGCTTCTCTGGAAGGGATGTATATTGCCATGTTATCCAATCAGGACTATTTTCTCGCTGAGGCTTAAACATTAACAGGGATTTCTCATAGAGGCTGACAGGCAGCGTCCTGCTGCTCCAGAGATCGTATCCAAGAGCAGAATGATGATAAGCTTTCTTTTAAAGTACATATCAATACATTAGTGAAGAAGCTTAAAGTAAAGCTTGGTTTTTACTTCAGAAATAAATCTTGTTTTACCTTCAGTGCTAAGAAAATAATTGTAGAAGCTACTTTTTTGTCTGTGATTGATTATGGAGATATATTGTACATGCATGCTGCATCCTCCATCTTGCATCACATTGACTCAGTGTACCATGCATCATTACGATTTATTACAAATTCTAAGTCACTTACTCATCACTGCATTCTTTATGATCTAGTTGGTTGGACATCACTAACAATTCGTAGAAAACAGCACTGGTATATCTTTATCTACAAAGCAATACTTGGTAAACTTCCACTGTACCTCTGTAACCTCCTCTCTGTGAGTTCCGGTAGTTATCAGTTGTGCTCCTCTCAGTGGTTACTTTTTAATGTACCCCGAGCTTCAACTGAGCTGGGAAAAACTGCATTTTCCTACTCTGCACCTTGGGGATGTAATAACCTCCAGAAAGAGCTCAAATTAGAAACTCTCGTGTCCATTAATGAATTTAAAGCAACCATGAAGAATGTAGTGATGGAGATATGTGCTTGTTTTTCCTGAGATGCTCAATGTGTTTTAACATACTGCTCTGATTTTATTTTTTTATGTTTTTAATTTTTTTATTCTTTATTTTTTATTTTGCAAAATGTAATATGTTGTAAATATGTATGAACTTCCTGTGGTTTGGCTGCTACCTTGGCCAGGTCTCTCTTGAAAAAGAGATTCTGAATCTCAATGGGACTTCCTGGTTAAATAAAGGTTAAATAAAAAAAATAATAATAAAAAAATAAACAGTAGATTATTCATGGAATCCGGCACATCTTAAATGCAGTTTAATGGCTACATTCATGAAGTTTGTGAATGCATTTTTACCAATTATTTTCTGAAACTTCCAGGGGAGGTTTAGCCTCCCTAGTATTTAAAGAGGAATTGTGTATGTATATATTATATACATTATGTTTGTCTTCTGTGCTGTACAAATGAATTTCCCCTGGAGGGATTAATAAGGTGGTCAGAGTCTTAAAAAATTGGGTACTAAACACCAATGATAATACAATTTATAAAGTTATAGGTGATTGAGGATGGTCAGCAATCTAAAATAAGACACTGCAAAAATGTAAAATTAGATTAAGTGTATTAGTGACTATATTTTGTTAGATGATTATATGACCTCATGAGCGAGTAAAACAGTGACACATTGCTCACTTAAGGGGGCATAAACTATATTATAAACTTCTGACTGATATATAACAAGCAAGTACTGACTTGTGGATTTTAAAAACTTGCAGACGACGGACATATTAAACACCATTAGGTGAACAAAATCCACCAAGACAGGAAATGTGAGAACTGAGCAGTGGTGTCAAAAGTACACACATTTGTTACTTAAGTAGAAGTACAGATACTGCAGTTTAAAAACACTCTGGTAAAAGTTCAAGTATCAACTTGACCTCTTTACTCAAGTAAAAGTGAAAAAGCATGTGCTCTAACTACTTAAAGTATAAAAGTATAAAGTAACCTTTAAAAAAACAGCCAGATGCCACCGTATGAATTGAAAGCTAAATTTTCCATCTCCTGATACGCTCTCACCTGTGTCCGACCTTTCAGACATTTCAACATCTTTTTCTTAATCCAACATTGTAGCATGGCATAGACAATTCACGTTTGCAGTTTGAAGAACACCTGCTTGCTTCTGATTTCCTTCAGCTAACCAATGAGTGTTTGCGTTATATGACTCATCCAATTACACTAGTTTTCACTAGATGTGGATGGCTCCAATGATCTGCAATGGATGGCGCACATGACTTGAAATAAATATTTATAAACATTAAACCGAAGCCAAGAGTAACGAGTAACGTTTGTTTTAAAAACGTAAAGAATAGAAAGTACAGATACTTGTCAGAAAATGTAATGAGTAGAATCAGAAGGAGGAAGAAAAATAAGTAATGGAGTAAAGTACAGATGCCTAAAAAGTTACTTAAGTACAGTAACAAAGTATTTGTACTTCGTTACTTGACACCTGTTAAATAAAAACAAATAACATTTTAATAAAGAAAACAAGCAAACATCAATGTAATGCAGGGATTTTGTGTTATAAGCACAAAACTCATGCATAAATATGAAGGAAAATTCTATACCTGTCAATTTTTTGCTTAAAGGAATAGTACACCCAAAACATGATTAGCCTTCATTTTCTACTCACCCCCATGCTGAACAACACTCTGGAGTACTTTTTTGATATCTCAAATGCATCTGGAGATCTGGGAGGCTTCTTGCTGTCTGCTGACATTCAAATAATGGAGGTCTACGGTGCCCGAGACAGAAAGGTCCATAAAAGTCCACATAAACGTGTAAACATTCTAAATTACTTCGTTTCGAGTAAATTCTGGATGCTACCCACTCAGGACACTTGGAATACATTGGACGAGCAGTATGGAGGGATATTGACACGTTTTTGTGGACTTTTATGGACATTTCTCGGGCACCATAGACCTCCATTATTTGAATGTCAGCAGACAGCAAGAAGCCTCCCAGATCTCCAGATGCATTTGAGATATCAAAAAAGTACTCCAGAGTGTTGTTCAGCATGGGGGTGAGTAGAAAATGAAGGCTAATCAAGTTTTGGGTGTACTATTCCTTTAACATTCTAGAAGAAAATCAGAGAAGTAAGGTGTGCACCTGTATTTATCTATTCTATACAATTTTAGATCACCTGAGTCAAAATATTATTTAAAACACTTAATGATATTAATAGTTGGTTGTTTTTTTTGTGCAAGTTTCCTGCAAATGTTTTTTTCCGATTTTATTTATCCAAATACTAAGTCTGGAATTTGTACATTTTTCAGCTTATCCTACGAACTTTATTTAATCCAACTATAATATTAATCTTTACAGTATCTCTTCTGCTACAAACCCTTTTAACCTTATTGCTGGAAACACCTGTATTTGTCCACATTTGGGTATGTAATAGACTGTTTCAAAAAAATGGACCCAGTGAGAAAAATAATCGGTTCTGTTTTAGAAAACTTTAAAAAAGAAGAATAAGAGAGGCGTTTATTATATATTTAAAAAAAAAACTGCGTTTGTTAAACTTCTGCTTTTCTTCTTTACTTTGCATAGTTCAATATTCTCATACGTCGCACGGATGGGTGTGGGCGGGGTCCTAGCTGCTGTTTTTCTTAGGTAGCCTGTTAAAATGCCCGAACACAAAACACTTCTTTTTCCAAGATGGCGTCGATGAAGGACAGCGACACCGGCCTGTGGCTTCATAACAAACTAGGATCAACAGACGAGCTGTGGACGCCTCCGAGCATCGCCTCTCTCCTCACGGTGTCGGTCATCGACAACATACGGTTATGTTTTTCGAGCCTGTCGCCGCCGGTGAAGCTCAAACTGCTGCTCGGGATGCTTCATCTTCCCAGGCGGACTGTTGACGAGGTGGGTAGCGAGCTTTTGGTTAGAAACCCTGACAGTGAGTGAGAAGTTGGTTTACATCCAGGAGGGGAGCTCAGTTTAGTTTGCACCGGATCAAAACACGGCTAAAACTAGTTTGTTATCTTATGGCTAAAGCTAAAGCTGCTACAGATTGCGGCTAACATGTGAAGCTAACTGTGGAGACAGCAAACTGATGCTACATTCCTGCAATAATCCTTAAAGTTGTAACCTCTGTTTACATGTAGTGTTGAAATAAAGCATGTGACAGGCCGCTCCTTGGATAAATCTGCTAAGTTGTTAGTCTGGTTTTCTGAGCGGAGAATCAGCAGCTTGCGCGGGCAGCAGTAGCCTGGCGGTTTCCTGCAGACATTGTGGTGGATGAGAGGCAGACGCAGCATCTAGCAGCTCCGGAGGGCGGAACCAACATCTACTGACCAATCAGCGTTCAGCTGCGCTGCCGTCAATCAACCTCTTCAACACATTATACGCTTATTGGGCCCAAAACTAACACGAACAAGAAACGATGCTAAAGGCTACAAAATTAAAAACCAGTGTTAGAAGAATTTTTTATTAATAAAACGCAATTACAAGCAGAGGTGGGTAGTGACTTGATGCATCTACTCAGTTATATATATATATATATGCGGACTAAAGCAAAACAAAAATGACTAAAATGTTTTTTTAGAAAGTCTTTTTTTTTTTTTTTTTTTAGAATAGAATAGAAAATCCCTTTATTGTCCCACAATCGAGAAATTGTGTTGTGTTTACTGCAGCAAAGGTTAGAAAAGTGTATAAAAATAAAAGATTGTGAAATAGAAAAAAAGTAATGTACTGTACAGTGTTTTTACAATTGGTGTAAATCACACCCATCATAGTAATTAGATTCAGTATCAATTTCCTGACATCACGATACGATTTGATTCGATTAATTGTTTTTTTTTTTTTTTTACCTTACTGGCTGGGCAATGTTTCAAATTTTAAATAAAACAATGAAAGCTGTAATATCGTTATGCATTTTATCTGAGAAATAACCGAAGCAGCAAAGCTGTACTCCACTGTTTTTATAGATTCTCAAAGGCCTTGCATTAGAAAAAACTGCAATGAGAGCATAAGTGCACTAGCAGATTAACAAACATAGGCCTATATCACATTCACTATAGAATAACAATACTCAACAAGATCAGTGCAATGAGTGCAAATGTGCAAATCAGAGCAATGACTGCATAAGTGCAGTGGTAGATTAAGTGAAAAAAATAAGAACACGAAATAATTCCATGCAAATAACTTGAACTCCTCCTCCATGTCTGCCTTGCCTACTGTTTACGCGAGTGTGTGTGTGCACGTGGAATGAGGCTAGTGGCAACAGGGAGCGAGGTAGGAGGGCAAAATAGGTTTAGCGCCACCACAGCACGGGAGTGGGAATTACGTCCAGGAGCAAATGGATAAAAATAGACTGGAGGGGGAAATAACATGAATCGATACTCTTGCGAATGTGTCGATACATCGGATCGTCGTCTGTTGGATCGATGCATCGATACAAAAGAATTATTATTTACACCCCTAGTTTTTACAATATAAATACTAAGAAATTCAGTATACAGCTATGGACGTTTTTACAGTAATGAATATGTGAAAAATAGCAGCAACATGTGACAGCAGCATGTTATTTAATGAACTAAGACAGAAACTTTGCAAAATCAGCATGAATGTAACAACTTATTGAGATTGTTGGGAGCAGTGGTGGTTATAAAGTCTTACAGCTGCTGAGAGGAAGGATCTGTGACTTTCATCTCATTTTTTGAAACACCCTAAAATACTTTATAACTTTATATTTTGTTATATTTAATGTTGTAAAATATTATATCAGCTGTTATGATCATGTGTAGTAGATCGGTTACTCAGCACTTCAGAAGCCTTTTTACCAAATACTACTTCACTCTTCAGTCATTTTTAGGAGGGCTACTTTTTGCTTTTTAATGAGTAAAACTTTGATTAAAATGGTGCTAATTTTACTTGAAAATAGAGCTTCAGCTATTGGTTATTTAGCAAATCAATTAGCCAAAGGTTCATTAAAGGATATTTTTTACAGAATTAAACCAGGTGGAACTAAAACTTTTCCACTTGAGGAATTCTGGATACAGCAAATTGACAGACATTTCTTTCTTTATATCAAATGCAAAATATTTTTACTTTTTTTATTTATTTTTTTTACAATCTTGTTATAATTGCTGCTTAGTGTGTTGTCCTTTCAGCTAAATGCATGTTTTACAGTCTCTATACTCCAGTTAGCTATTAATCAATTACTGAAATAGTGGACAATTTCAATAGTCGATTAATCCGATTGTTTTAGTCCTACTCAAAAAGTTTTTTTTTTTTTCTACTCAACTCACCTCTGATTTCTCCTACTACTAATGATGATAAGGAATCACTTACGACAGCAAATCAATTTAAATAAGGACTATATTTTTAGCATTTTTTACATATTATTTTACTTTCTGCAACTTGAAGTTACTAAACTAATGTAAGTAACTTGTTATGTTGAATGTTCATCAAAATCTCTTCAATCATTCTGGCTAAAATTGTGTTATATCTTTTGTAGTTTTTCCACATTTTGTGTACTTATTTTATTACTAAGTAGACAATACTAAAAGTCAAATGAAATGCTTATTTTAATAGCAGTTGAAACAATTGGATAAATTGAATAGATAATTGATATTATTTAAGGCTAAATAGAATTGTATGTTTTTGGCTGCTTCTCATGTTGCTTCTTTGCTTGATTTTTAGTTGTATGAAAAGGAAATGTATGTATAAAGTGCAAAAGATGTATAATAAAACTCCAGGGTTGTCATCATAAAACATAACAGGCTCCAAGTTAAATAAAATAGACAGACACATCGCTGATGACACAGAGCGCTGTGATCACTCCTTTGAAACAGTTTATTGACGCATAAATTAACTTAAAATTCAGAAATCTGCTGACAGAATATGTTCGCTTTTATTATCCTGGTGCCTGCAGTTTAGATTATTTAGATGAAAAACACCTACCAGCTGCCGCGGTGAACTGCGAGGAGGCGACCCGGCCAGAGGCTGCTGTTGAATGGGATTCCTACTGACAGCGCACCGCTGTATGTGGGGGTCTGAGCGTCTCCGACAGAACTAATATTAGAAGAGAAAGGATAGAGTAGTTCCGCCCAACGCGCGTCAGACACACTTTTGCACCGCGCAGCCAGAGCAACAAAGCTGCTTCAGCCGCGCGTCAGAACTAACTGGTACAAGCAGCAAAAATGAAGCAGCAGACGCGCTTTTGCTGCCTTACTTTGAACGGCCGGTTCACACCGATGTCGAGCGGTTGAAGTTTCTTTGTCAGACCTCCCGCAATAACAGCAAGCACAGCGTTCATTTGTTTCCCCATGTTTTTCACATCGGCTGTGAGATGGGCACGCATGGAGTCACAGATAACAGCGATGGTGATGAGTGGAAAAAACCACCTGGTCTCCTTACATTCACCTCCCTCAGCCACTCTTTCATCATCTCCTCAATGAGGAGATGAGGAGTTCTGCGCAAAGCACATATCTGTTCTTTTATACAGAATCCATGCCCACACTTCCCCCTTTAATGTTCTCATGGTGGCCCCAACAACGTCCGCAGTAACAGCACACATAGGGCGCGCCGCACATTTTGAGGGGAAATAAGACGTTTATATGCGCCTTATAGTCGTGAAAATACGGTATATATGCATACTGGATGGAGTGCAGGAAAGACTGTCCATTTTAAACTGTTACTAACGTTGATAGACGGCCTTCCTCTAAGTTTTGCTGCCATTTTAAACTTTTTTTCAGTCCATGAGGCTATGATGGCTCATTGATGTGTGCTTGAAGAATAAGGATAGAGAGAAAGAAACTGTAAAAAGTTCCTGGATTATAGAACTATCTGCAGCAGTAGGACAGAACGTGGTCTAAAATATAATCCAAATAGACTTTAATGTGACCTGAGAAACATAATCCTTCATTAGATAATCTACCTCTGTGTACAATTTCATTAGATTTAGAAAAACCTTGTTGGTATCAAAATAATAATTATGGTTTCAACTCTGATTCAAACATCTTTGTGACATAAAATGGATATTTTCTCAAGAAGATGACACTGCATAGTCTATCTGCCTGTTTTTATTTGTTGTTGCTTTGTTAGACTTAAAGAAAAAAAGTTTTTTGGAAAAAAGTAACAGAGGAAAGATGGATCGGTTCTGTAGCGAAGCAGAAATGCCCATTAAATTAATCATTGACGATGTCATTGCTGTTATTCATGTTAATTCTTCGTCTCTCCTCATTTCTTTAAACATCTGCAGCTGTGCGATATATTTAATATGAAGCATTGATAATGATGAAAAACACCACTGAAAACATCTGTTGTGTAGGATTGACTGAAATGATCCACTGAACTCTCACCAAAATGAACCTGACTGAATTAGTTTGATTGAAATGTGAAAACCAAGCATCCTTTGCTCTGGTTGGTTCCTCTGATGTCTCTCTCTCCTCTCCTGGCAGATGAAGGAGGCCCTGTCTGAGATCATCCGGCTGGCTACCGTAGATTCAGAGCCCTGGGTGCTGATGGTTGCAGACATCCTCAAGTCCTTCCCAGAGACCGGATCTCTCAACCTGGACTTGGAGGAGCAGAATCCCAACGTGCAGGATATTCTCGGGGAACTCAGGGAGAAAGGTTTGGGATTTATTTTCCTTAAATATACCAACCTGACGCCTGGAACAGATGAAACCACAAGTCGCAAATTTACCCCTTTATTCTATGATGTGCTTCCTCTCATCAGTGGGCGAGTGTGAGACATCAGCCATGCTCCCTCTGGAATGCCAATACCTGAACAAGAGCGCCCTGACCACCCTGGTAGGACCCCTCACACCCCCCGTCAAACATTTCCAGCTCAAGAGAAAGCCGAAGAGTGCGACTCTGAGAGCAGAACTACTTCAGAAATGTAAGGCCGCCTGAAAACAAACAGGGAATCTCAAGGACTAATACATCTGTGGACTAGTTAAATGTGTCCTGCTTTTATTTCAGCGACAGAAACGGCCCAGCAGCTCAAGAAGACAGCCGGAGTGCCTTTTCACGCCAAAGGGAGAGGACTGGTTAAAAAGATCGATACTACAAGTGAGGAACAGGCTTCCTGTTTAGCCAGGCTATGACATCACCACCTTTGTTGTTTTGTTTTTTTCTCAGACTTGTTTTAATGTTTGCCTCACAGCTCCTCTCAAAGGGATTCCCAAGGCCCCGTTCCGCAGCCCCACAGCTCCCAGTTTATTCAGCCCTCCCAGTAACCGCACCCCCATCGCTCCCCCACGGACTCCACTACGGAAAGAAAGAGGGGTCAAGGTTTGTAATCTCTGAAGTCAGGGCTATAATGTGATGCAAAAATCCACTTAAACTCCTCCAGATTTCTTTAATATTTGTTTTACTTCCTTCTAAGATCAGACTAAAGTTATTTTATTTTATTAGTAACTTCAAAATTTTCTTTTTTTTAATAACCGAGCAGATGTGCATAAAGTCATTCCCTCCCTTATTAAAATCATAAATTGGCTCTAATTTAGTCGCATGTTTAAAAAATAAGCTGAAAATTTCAGTAGTATGGCAAAAAAAATAGGTTTAAAATGAGTACATCGTGGCCTTATCTAGAGGAATTAAAAATATTTTTTCATCAGTTGCATTTCAATTACTGTAGGTCAGGCAATGATCTCTACATTTCTAGAGGTTTGTGACTTCAGTAATCGAGTGAGAAAGCCGTTCAGCCACATGCAGAAAACAGGAAACAGTGGAGAACCCTCCTGGGGTTTTATAGCACACCAAAATTACTCCAAAAGAAAACTGAAGACATCCAGGAGGGCAAAAAGGAACCCAGAACGAGACAATAACTTTAGGAATAAAGACCTCTGCTAAAGTTCTTTACATTTATTTAAAAACAACCCAAAGACCTTTGGGAAAAAATGTGTAATAATGAGATAAAAGCTGAACTTTTTTTGGTACATCTGGTATAAATGTAGAAAGTCAGAAAAATAATTTAGTTGGTCTATTTTCTTGATGATATGAAACATTGGGACAGGAAATGAGAAACTGAAGAAACCTTTCTTTTACTTTTTTATTCCGATGTGAAGCTATTCTGTTTTATTTATTCATTGTTAACTAACAATGAAAAAAAAAAGGCTTTTTTTTTTTTGTCTTTTCCTGTTTTAGCTTTTAGATATTTCCGAGTTAGACATGGTGGGAGGTGGAAGAGAGGCTAAAAGGAGAAGAAAAACTTTGGGTGAGTATCTTGGTTTTCCATCTAACTGGGAGGCTCAGACGCCAGCAGGAGAAGGACTTCCTTTGATGATGATTGGATGATTTCTCTTCCTCATGTAGAACCAGAAGCGGGAGACAAAAACGCCAAAGAAGAGTCGGTGGTGGAGAACACCACCCCAGATTATGCTGCTGGCCTCGTCTCTGCACAGGTATCCTACTGCTGCTTCTGCTTTAAAGCATATATGGCTCCCTTTGTTAGTTTTTACTTTAATGAATGTCCTGTTGCTTTGGTTTCCAGAAACTCGGGGCACTAAACGAGAATCCCCTGCCCTCTACCAGCTACCTACCAGCCACGCCCAGCATGGTTCCCTCTTCCTCTTACATTCCCAGCTCCGAGGCACAGCCAGGTTGGTAAAACGGCTCAGCTCTCTCCCTGTTCCACTAACGGCTGGAGCTCTTTGTCAGACATGTTCACAAGTCATTTTTTGCAAGTCCAAGTCAAGTCTCAAGTCTTGAGAAGGCCTGTCGCAATAATCAATTAATCGCACAAAAAATTCTAATCACTTGATTAATTAAAAAAAGTGCAATAATTTTTGTGCTTGCTTGTTTCTCCTTGTGTTTTCATCTTCGTCACTGAGACGGTATAGCTTAAAGGTCGCTATTATATCCATGGAATTATCATTATCTTGAACTGCTAAATGAAAAATACAATTAAAGAAAGCACACACGCAAAATTTTTTTCCAGTTAAATTTTGCATTTTTAGTTTTTTTTCTTAAAAAAAAAACTATTTTCTTACAGTATTTACCTGACGTTTATGGTTACAACTTTTTCTAGTTTTAGCGAGTATTTTCAATTCAATTCAGTTTATTTATTTAGCGCCAATTTACAACATTATTCACAACATATTTCTCCTCTACCACTGCCATGAAGCTTTTAAAGCTGGGCTTGTCGATCAAAGACAAGGGGAGGTTGCATAAATAATAAGGTCCTGAATTACTGCCTTATGTCTGTGATGTCCCTGGCTGTACACCTGCACTAGATGTGGTGGACCAAGCATCGTGTATTTTTTCTAAAGAAGCTGCAGTTTGCTGCTCTTTTATTCCCGCCTTATGTAAAGTTTTTGTAGCCAAAGGTTATTATGAACGGTGGCACCGAAATAGGGGGGGTTATCATCGCTTCCATACCTGTATGGGTTGCATGCATGCATGCGCACGGGCATATATGTCACGTACTGTTGCGTCAGTGACGTCAGTGTGTTGCACAGGGAAAAATATGATTTATGGTTTTCTTTCATTTAAATGTTAGTTTTATGCTTTGCATGTTTGGAGAGGAAGATATGATTTGTTTTTCTTTGTATTTTCTTCTTGAGCTTTGCATGTTTTGATGTTTCTTTTTTATGATTGTTTTCCTTTATTTTAGACTTTTGAATTTTTCCTGCATGTTGGGTTGTTTTGGTTTGTTTTTCCCTTGTGACAATCCATGCGCACTGGACTGAAGTAGTTGTCTGAGGAGGCGGAGTGCATTAATTGCGCTGCGCTGCGCTCAGGTGTGAGCAAGGGCTGATTAAAGCAGACATAAAAGGAGTCTGAAGAAAAGGAGAAGGAGAACGCACCAGAAGCAGCAGAACAAGCGGAGCCCAACTTCCAGCCTCTGATTTTTAAGGAAAACTCTTGAATTTTAGGTTTTATCAGGAGAAGAAAAGGACTGTTTTATTATGCCACTTTTGAGGTGGCTTTTTGTATAAATAAAACACTTGAACTTGAGCGCTTCAAGGTTTGGGTCTTTGAGTTGTTTGCTCCCCCTTGTGTCAAAGATTGAGTGTGGGGCCATACTGTCCAGAATTGCTTTTTTTTTATTTTTTTTTACCACTTCTGTGTGCGGGTAAGGCGAGCGGCGATCAGTCAAGTTAGTAAAACAAAAAACACTTGAATAAGTGTTTTTACACTGGAATAAAATATTGTTCACAAGTCGGAAATCACGAGTCTCAGTCGAGTCTGAAGTCCTTCAAACGCAAGTCTAAGTGGAGTCTGAAGTCATTAAATATGCGACTTAAGTGCGACTCGAGTACGAGTCACAAACTCGAGTCCCCATCTCTGCTCTTTGTAGACCAAACCTTCTTCTCTGATTCCCTCCACAGCCAATGCTGGTGGTTCTGGGCGGGACACGCTGCAGGCAGCTCGCCAGCCGGAAGAGTCCACCACAGCGGCGGCCGGTGGCGGCTCCGCCTTACCGAACCAGTACAAGCAGAGGACGCCTATGTACAACGCCGGCTCCACCACGAACCCTGCCACCCCCACGTCCCCCAGCACGCCCACCTCCACTCCTGCAAACAACGGGCCCCCCGCAGCTGCAACGGCCAGCCAACCAGAGACGCCCACCCAGCCTCCCAGCACCCCTCAGACACCTACGCCTACACCAGCACAGCCACAGCCCAAAAAGAACCTCTCGCTCACGGTATGGTGGGGAAAACGGCAAGCTTTAGAACCGGAATGACAACTGGCGCTAAATCTCTGTCGCTTCCTGTCTGTGCTCCTAAGAGAGACCAGATGTACGCCGCTCAGGAGATGTTCAAGACGGCCAACAAGGTCACCAGACCAGAGAAGGCTCTCATCCTGGGTTTCATGGCTGGATCCAGAGGTAAGAGACAAGGATCAAACGCCTTAACCGGTGTTGCTTCATCAACGAAAATAACAAAATATCATCGTCAACAAACTTTTATCACCTTCCCAAAATGGGGAGAAACCTTAATAGTTATGACGAGAACTATAATCGTATATATACTATATTTGCTTACGAATAAAAACTAGACTAAATGTCGTTTATAAAACGAAAGCTCTGCTAAAATGTCTCTTAATTTTTGTAAACTAAAATGTGACTAAAAGAAGCGAAAAATTTTAGAATTTTATGTTTCGTTACGTATGTGACGCAGTGGTCAGACCACAGATCAGGCGACGCCGTTCCCTCATTCCCATTGCTGGGTCGTTTGGGAGAAAAGGAAGAAACTATATCTGGAAAAACTTTAATTAGTTTGCTTTTAAATTCCTGTGCTGTGGGTGTTGTTTAAAGCGCTGGTCTTCTAAATAAATTTTTATGATGCAAGTTTCAGTTTATAAGCAATTTACAGACGCACTCACCTTTTTTTTTCTATTATGTAGCTGTATCTCAGGCATCCTTGTTTTTCTTTGTTACACTTGAATATGTTTTGTTGTTACATTGTTGGTCATGATTATGGCAATAAATTGCATTTGCAATATAATCAGTATAATCAATATAAACATTCTTGGCGAGAACACGAGTCCATACTCAATTTCTTATGAATTGAGAAACGGCCACTGACTTCAGACTCTGCTCTCCTCCTGTAGATTCGACCGATGCAGTAAAATACTAACCAACCAATGAGCAGAAGTTGACTCTGTAGGACACACCCCTCATCATTTGCTTAATGAGGCAGAAATGCATCCAGAAATGTAAAAATGACAGGCAGAAATAAATAGCATGGAAGAAATAAATAGGGTAAAAAAAATACAAAGGAAGAACAAAACAGACAAAAATATTATAACATTCAGATAAATAAATACTTAAAAAATAAGTAATAAATAAATAAAGTTGAAGATTATAATGGACAATAAATAAATAAGGTAACCATTACAAAGGTGAAAAAAACAAAGAAGCTAATTAAAAGAGATATATACATTTATTTCTCACCTTATAATTTAGTTTCTACCTACATTTATTTGTTTATTGTATTTTTGGGGGTAATTAATTGTATGCTTATTTATTTATTGAGCATTTATTTATTTTTAAATATGGCAGAGTTGGTCCTCCATACTAAATTACTCACTTCAAAAAGTGAGCAATACGTTTAAAGTGGGTTTAAGGTTGAAAAAATTAATCTGATTAATCGATTATTGAAATAATCGTCAACTAATCTAATAAGCGGTTAATCATTAAATGGCGTATAGAGACTCTAAAACATGCCTTTAGCTGACAGAGCGACCCAGCTTGAATGTCTTAAAAAATATAGACAAATTTAGCATTTAAGATAAAAAAAAAGAAATTTGTCAATATCCTCTATCCGGAACTCAAGTGGAAAGTTTTAGTTTCACCTGGTTTAGATTCGAATGGAGCCTTTTTTTTTTAAAAACCTTTTGCTATCTGATTATTATTAAATTAATTAGGAAAACAACAGATAGATTTATCGTTTTGCAAATTAATTGTTAGCTGCAGCCTTTGGTGGGTTTGCTGCCACACAGAAAGGTAGGGAGGGTGGCAGCTAGCTTGTAGATCCATGCATGCAGGTAGAAGTAAGCACTTTTTGATAAAAATGTAACAGTAAAGTCCTGCAACATTAGACTCTGGACAAGCAAGCCTTCAAGGTCATGAAAAAAATGAAACCCTGGAGTGAAAATCTGCATGCTATTAGCTAGCCCAAAGGAAAATCTAAATAAAATCACCATCGCAGTGTTGGTCCAAACTAATCACAGTGTTGATTTTTGGCTAAATCGTTCAGGACTGGTCGTGATGCTGCTGACATTATTAGTTTAATATGATATTACGTTTGTGTACTTCTGGTTAGTTGGTTAAATAAACAGACTATTCTGCTTAGAGCCGAGCATCTTCCACATCTGGAATTAATGATTTCTGTATTATAATAAGCTTGTCTGATTTGTGAAATGGGTTTGACTAAAATAAGAACTTGGTTCTATCTAGTGGTAATCATAACATATTACCTGTATTAAACAGCAATAAGCGGTTAAAAATGTTGAATAGAATAGTCGTGAGTTATTCTGACTTGAATAAGACTAAAAAAGAGAATGAATGTTATCAAAAATAATAAAAAACTGAAATGACAGTTTGATAGAAAGCCAAAATAAAACAACACTAAGCATAACCGTAGCTGTTGTTGGGTTAGCAGCTCATTCCTGGGTTCTTTGGCCTGCTGTTTGGGGTCACAAGTAACCAGTTTTCTGTTTCCCTATACAGAGAACCCGTGCCCGGAGCAGGGGGACATCATCCAGATCAAGCTGAGCGAACACACCGAAGTTCTGCCCAAAGCCGACGGCACAGGCAGCACGACCATGCTGGTGGACACGGTCTTCGAAATGAACTATTCCACGGGACAGTGGACCCGCCTCAAGAAATACAAACCCATCACCAACACTTCCTGAGGGGACCCGGCGCGCTCCAAAACCCACCCCCTAAATTAATGTGTTTATATACATACACATCTGGGCCAAACGGAGCTCCAGCGGGTTGTCAGGGAGAGAAAGATCCTCCCTTTTACCTCATGGCCAAGATGGAAAGCTTCCTTGTTCTCTTTTCCCTCCTTTACCCTTTTATTGTTCGTTTTAATGTTGGTAGGGGGAGGTTATGGCTGGCTCTGTTATGGCAGGCACCTTTTCAGCATCCGTTGAGGCAAAAGCCGCCTGGGTTATGTAATAGGATTATTGTCAGCTCCTACCCATCAAGTTTGAATAATTAATTTTGACAAAACATTAAAGGTGACCAAAAAAAAAGAAAAAAGCAGACCCAGTTAATGCTGTCAAATGTTTGGAGCCTTCTGGCTGATGTCAATTATTTTTCAGCCTTTTTTTTGTCTTTTTTTTTCAATTTGGGAAGAAAAAAAAGTGACAAAATACTTTTTGCTCCTTGTTAATTCCACCTCATATAACTCAAATATGTGAAGTGTAGTTTTGTTTGTTCTAAGCTGAATCACGCTGGACTAGCTGAGCAGCAGTACAGTGGTTCTCAAGCAGTAGAAGGCCTGTTTTTTGTTCTGTAAAAAGAAAAAAAATGACATGGTTCATCATTTCGAGTTTTTTTTACTCTCAGAATGTGACATTTATCCTGTACAGTTCAAAAAAACAAACTCAGTTTGCTAGTCAAAAAAGAAAAGATATCAAACAAAATAAAAAAAACTTTAACCTGGTTGCTGGAGTTCATACCTGCCTTCAGTTGTAGAGCACTGGAAAAAATCGAAATCTAGAAGAGTCATTTTTTCTTAAAATAAGTGCATTTTTCTTGTATTGAGGAGGTAAGTGAGACACTTTACCAATGGAAAAAGACAATTCACATTAGAAAAAAAAACAAAAAACTATTTCATTGTCTTATTTCAATTGTATATTATCTAAATACCTTATTTTAGGAGTAAAAATACTCCTTCCATTGGCAATCATCTTATTTACCTACTCAAATCAAGGGTAGGTTTGACTTATTTCTAGACAGTTTTTGCAGTGTGAAGAACCAGAAATGCCGTTCAGCTGACCGGCACATCCTTTAATAAAGCCTTAGTGTGCAAAGAACTCCGCCATATAAAGGTATCAGTCAGCAGAAGAGCTGCAAGGATTTCCACCGACCGGCTAATCTTCTATAGTGTCCAGAATCTCCTGCTACAGAGCATTGGAAAATCATTACACCCATAGGCAGTGTTGGGAATAAAGCATTAAGTAACGCATTACAGTAACAAGCACTGTATGGTAGCAGCCATTCAAAATGGCCATTCCCAGTCAAACACTAGCCGAATGGCAGCAAACTCACCTGCAACTCCCAGCAAAATTCCCTCCAACTTCCAGCCACTGGAGTGACCCCCTCTTTCTCCTGGGCGTACATATTGTTTTACTCCATCCTTTCACTGAATTACGAGGTCTGACCAGGAAATGATGCTTCTCTTTAGATATTAATGTCCACAAATCATGATGGAAAGAATATTTTAGTACAAATATTGATGTTTAAAAAGGAAGTCAAGGGAAGTGGGGACATTTTGAATGGCTACTACTGCAACTGATTTGTTTGTAAAAAACGCGTTAGTCATTACTGCTCTTTAGACAGTGGTGTAAGACCATGTGACGGTAAAACTTCGGCATTGAGCACCGAAGGGAGACGATGGCGCAGGGCCAATGGTTCAATGACGGCGTTCCTACAGCGCAGAGCTCACTGAAGGCTAATGTTTCAATGATTTGCTCATTATGTGAGGGAACAAAGACTTTATTAGCATCGGTTAGATGCTGTGATTTAAAGATTGACAGCTTTAATCAACACTTTTACTTTCTCAGGGCTATAATGATTTTGCCTGCAAAAATCCTGGGATTGTTTAGTCCTACATTTTTTTTTTCTGGAATAGTATTACCTCTGTTTAATTCTATTTCATAATAAAAACAGCATTTTTTTTAGGGAAGGCGGGTGATATGCACAAAAAATAAATGCTCAAACATCAGATTTTTTTTTTCTTATAAATGTGAAACATGATCACATCTACATAATCATATTGCAATTCGTCAAAACACACACAACAAAAAAGTTTAGATTAATTTTCAATGTTTTATGATGTGTAGACCTTGTATTTCATTAACCTCTATTTATATTTACAATTCCAATAAGAGGAAAAACCTTAGATGATAAAAAGTAATTGCATAGTTACTTTGGCTAATAACGAGTTACTTTCACAGTGCAGAACTAGTTTTGGGAGAACTAGTACCTGTAACTAGTTATTTTTTTAGGTTGATTGCCCGACACTGCTCATAGAGAAGCATGGTGGTGGCAGAATCATGTTCTGGGACTTTTTTTATTAATTTTTTTTTTAGGTCAGTTTTGGCCCCAAAGTCTTCAGATTTATTTCGTAGAAAGCTGAAGGTGGTTATAGATAACCTGTTAGTATCAGACTGAGTCCAATCCTCCATCCATATGGAGTTGTTTTTGTTTTTATTAATTTCAAGAACAGAAGTGATCTGAAAGTGGAAAATAATTTTTAAAGTAAAATAAATTTTCACTCATAGCAAAACCTGATAATATGAACATATTTTGTTATAGAATAAATCAAAGATAAAGTGACAATTGGAAAATTATTTTCATGGGAAAGATGCTCTCTCAAAAATATGTTTTTACTCTTAAATATTGTTTTTTTGGTTTGTTTTGTTTTTTTTTAGAATCAGAGAGAAAATATTTCTCTCATAGATTTCTCTCTTCAAAACCTAAGTCAAGATTCAGGTTTTTTCTCTCCATGTGAAAAATGTGTCATGCCTGTCTTCCTATTGATCTGAACAGAATTGAAAGCTGAAATCATTTTCTTTAAGATTGCTTTTTTTTTTGCTTGAATTTAATAGAAATACAAATATAACGTCACACATCCAGACAGAAAAAAACAATATCATTGGAGGGAAATGATTGGCCTGGCCGTTCTTTGTCAGAAATTCAGAGTGGTTACCCAAATATCCGAGTCAGAATAAAGATGGAACTAGTTTTCAAATAGTGCATCATGGTCGCATCCTCCCTCAGGGAAGTTTGTATAATTACAGAAAAATGTCACTGTAGCAGAAAACTAGTTTGTTTTTTTAGATCCAAAGTCAATGAGCAGTTGAAGTACCTTCCTTTTTTTTTTTTTTGTTTACAAGTAGTGGGAGGGGATCAAATGGATCAGATTAAATAAAGGAGCTCAACCAAAGAGCAAGGCTCTGGTTCACTGATCCAACTTCTTCCTGCTGCTGCTCTCCATTTCAAACAGCCTAACCCTATAATGCCAAATGTATCATATTTGATACATACGGTTTCTGAAATGTTTTGTGTCTGACACCTTTTGCATGATTTAATGGTAAAAACTTTGCTCAAAATCCTATTGTACACAATCAGATATACCTGATAACAGAGGGCAGAAGACTACACAAAAATAATCTTGACTTTTCGCATAGTAATAAATTTTTTAATATCAAAAATTTATTTCTGTTTTTTCTTTTTACATATTTTGTTAAAAGGCCAAATAAGGACTTCAAACCAAAAAAAAGTTATTTTCTGCTTTGTTTTATTCTTGGATCAGGCTTTAAAGGGTTAATGGCACCAACAGTGTCTCACAGTGACCAAAAACCTGATTGGAAAACAGTTCCTCAAAATCCGCTAAAGGATATGGATATATTTTAGGTCTGTAATGTTACCTTATTATCAGCTCATAGACTAAACCTGCTATTATGTTGAGACATTTCTGGGTTTAAGGCTTCACTAAAAACCACGACTGAGGTCACACATGATCAGTCCACTAATCTGTGTTTCTGTTAGTGCTGTTCAGAGATCTGATTGGAACAAATTTGGTTGTTAAAAGGCTTAAATGAAATGTAAACAAAGAGCTAATCATATAGTTTCATAACCATAGGTTGCAATCAGCAACAGGCTGATTATTATGGCCTACAGTTGCAGGTTTATTGGAACAAATCAGCATTAATATTGTAGAAATAGTTTATGATTTAACTAAAAAAATGCAAATGTTTAGTTCCCCCCATAGTGTAATTTGAGTTCCTTTGAATGCCTGTTTTGTCTTTGACATCAGTACTATTCTTGTGTGTTTCCATGGATATCAGACCTCTTATCAGTATTGTAATTGACTAGTTACCTGATCCAGACACTCTGAGCCATGGTCCACTTGTTTCCCTGACGTTCAAAGGCATTCCAGGAGCTTAGCCTGTTCCAGGGGCCATTTAGATGCATTTCCTAGGATCGTTTTCTGTCAGAATTTTAACCATTTCTCCATAAATTTCAGGTTTAGATAAAGAGAATCAGTGAAGACGAGACAGTGACACAATAAAAAAGAAATTTAAATAAAGTCTATTATGAACAAGCAGATGCTAAAAACCCCAGTGTAGGTAATTATAGGCAGCGCTAGATAAACATGGACTGAGAGGGTTCTGAATGAGAACAAAAAACCCAAATGAGATGTGATGCCTTAAGATCAACTGCAGTTCTAAAAACTTTCTGGGGAAAAAAAAAAAGGTTTATAACAAAGATCAACAAAAGAATGGAGGAGGACCATCTCTATGTTCTTTTATCTAGAACCAAAAAGAGCAGATAGAACAGAACAGATCTTGTTTTATTTCACGAGGACCAAATATAGAGGCTGAGATGGATTAAAATCAACCTTCTGGAAAGGCCCTGATCTCAACCTGTTAAATATTTATAGGCTGCTGCTTAAAAGCTGGATCAGCAGCAGGAAAGCAGCCAGTTTAAATAAATTCCTATCGATTCCTCCAGGAACTTCCAGCGATAATCATAAAAGGAGTTTACTGATGCCATAGGAAGCACACATTTCCTCAGACATAGCTTCTTTAAAGAACTGGAAAACAACAAGAGAAAAATCTCAACATTTTATTCAATAAAACAAAACATCCCCAAACCAGTGAAGGTTGTGCTTTTCCTTTCCTGTTTTCATTGTCTCCACAGATGATATTTGCTAAGTTTTTAAGGTATATTTTAGTTGGCCATGTAAACGATTAACAATAAGCATCACATCCTTATCGGTGTAAAACTGTGTTTCATTTCTGTAGTTAACTGGTTGGAGTTGCTTTTCTAGAATGCACTTCGGTCATAGTTACAGATATTTTATTTGTTAAGATCAGTTTAATAATTATCGCTGACTTTTGCAGCTCTTCCTAAAAGAGGAATTAGGATTCAGTACAAGCTGTGGTCATAAAACAAGTCAGAACATGTCTTCTTTTTTAAGCTTGAGGGTTTAACCCTCCTTAATTTTTAAGAAACAAAAATATAAAACTTCATAGAGTTATTTCTTATTAGTGCAAAACGCGCTTCTGTTACACTTAAACATTCTTCACTCAGACTGTCCCCCTCTTTGGTGGTGGAGTGCAGCAGGCGACAAGGCAGGGTGAGGATACTGCCATCCTCACTTCAAAGCACTGTCACTCCATCAGGGAGAGGAGCTTTCCTTGGCTCCAGGGTCCCTCCATCCTCCGAAAGTCTTCTCCAGGTAGAGGGACACAGCCAGAGTTAGCCGGTCCTGGAGTTCCCCGCCCACGACCTGCACGCCTAGAGGAAGACCTTCCTCATTCAGACCCAGAGGACACTGGGTAACCGGCAGCCCGAGGATGTTCAGAATACCTGAAGAGGGAGAAATATCACATAAAGGGTTGCTCATCTTAAATAGGGTCAATATGAAA